CACACACACACACACACACACACTCCGATGATCAGATTCACACACAAGGCCAACGGGTTGGGTTTCTGTGATGAATGCGACAAGGAAGCAGGCACATATTTGATCCCACGCAATGTGTAGTCACAGAAATATATGCAGACAAAGACATAGCATGAAATTCTGGATATACTTTATTTACCTATGTCACATTTAAAACACTGCTTACTCTGTAAAATTCCGAGGCTGCACGCTCACCAGGAGAAGGGAAGTTAATCTTTTGTTTGGACATGGCCAGGCTCATGTCGGTGTGGTCTGTGGGCACGCTTCCAGGGGGAAATTCAAGGGGTATTTGGAGTGGCTGGCCTGTGATGCTGCTCAGCGTAGGGGAAAGAGTGTGCCACAGTGATGTGAAAATGCAACTAGAGAGCTACGATTTTCACTGAGAACAATGGTGCTGCAAACAAATGCTATGCCCTCCAACCGTTCAGTGTATCTTTCAAAGCTATGCAGTGCTTCACAGGCCGCAATGACACTCCCTAGATGTGGCGTTAAGGCTCATTATGCCACACTGCCCTCAAACAATCCCAGGGTCCTTGTTAGATCCCAATTTTTCAAGTGTGTGGCTCAGACACTGGGCTCTCCTTTTTTTCCTTTTTGTCATTCTGTTCATCAGACAGAGAAAGGAGAGTTATCAGATCCCACAGAGAGGTGACTCAACTCTGTTTTCCCCTGTGATGTTCTACCCCCTCTTTTTCTTTCATACTGCCACCATTTTTCTCTAATGAATGCATCTCCCTTGTTTTGACTGGCAGGTCCATGGGGGTGGGGCTTGCCCTGTCGCCTGAGGACCTCGGAGCGGGCGGAGACAGCCAGAGAAGGAAGAAGAGGCTGTCCAGTCGAGGCTTTGAGAGACTTAGCAGCTCACAGGTTAGGGTCCCCTTGTCCTCCTCCCTCTTGTCCTCTGTGCAACTAGAAATGAAACAGGGCCGTCTTTGTTTCTTTGTATTTGATATACTCTTTTGTTGCACACGATTTCTAATTAGGTGCTACCCCCAGGAGTCAAATCCTCTGCTCTCCATATTAATATCTCTTTTTCATTGAGGCTTCTGCTGTTCCTTTTTCTTTTCTGTGTGGGAGCAAATGAGAGTCCTCTCCCTCTGACGTCCTGATGCTTTTGCAGCTGCTGTGACCGGGAGTGTAACCGGCCCTCTCTGGCTCTCTCATCTCTCTCTGTTGCAGCAGATAAAAGCGCAGGGCTGCAGAAAAAGCAGTCTTCACAGCGTGCTCAGCTCCAAGCTGGCCAGCGATGTGGCTCAGCTCAAACAGAGAGCCCAGGGGAAAAAGAATCTCTCAGGGACTGGCTCCAGGGACAAGGAGGTTTCGTCCTGCAACTCTAACCCCAAGCACGGACACAGAAGCCAGGGCACAAGCAAAGTGGAATCCCGACGAGAGTCAGGGGGACAAAGTGACACAGGTAGAAATATAGATTGTGCCCCACGCTGCTTTGTTCAATTATTGAATTCTTAATGTTCCACCAATATTCCTTAACTCACATTGAACTGTGATTTGTTTCGCAAACTTTCTTAGCAGCCAGTGTTGACAGCGGCCCTCAGGAGAGCTGGACTGGGCAGGTGCGACATGGACGCAAAAAGGGATCCACCACCATGACACAGGGTTCCTCCTCCTCCAGATCGAGGATTCTCCGTGGCCACAGACAGGACGCCATGGCAGAGGGAGAGAGCTCCCCTGCAGAGAGTGACTCCTCTGATCAAGGTGAGACAGTGAAGACAGAGAGTTTCATATGAGTCTTGCATGTATAGTCACAGGTAATGAAACTGGCAACCCATGTCAGTGGTAAACAATGTCCTCAAAGCAAACAAGAACCGGGCATGTTTTTTGGCTTTAACCCTTACTATATGGAGCATAAATGGTTCCTGTATTAACACTTTAGATTTCTGGCTCTCTCCTTTACTACCACTTAAGCCGTTTTCAGACATGACCTGCGGGTAAAGTCCGGAAAATTGGGTCCCGCACTCTTCCTTTCACACATGCACAATGCAGCAGGAGGCAACAAATCCTCTGCATTTAGGAGAGAGGTGGAGCAGCCATTAATTCCGCTGCGGAGATCCCCCGATCATGTTTACAGCACATCTTCAGCTCTTATCACCACAACATCTCTTGACATCTTCACCCATGTCCTCTATGTGTGTGTTACTGCTTTTTCATTGGAATAAATTTGTTTTCATTTGTTTGTTTTTTTTTGCATCTGTTGCGTGTCATCAACCCTAATCTATAGACGGATGAATCAGGGGATATTCCTATTCCCTATTCTATGGAAGTGTTGCATCAATGACTGAACAGCCACCTATGAAGGTTGTCACTCAGTAGAGCACTTACCTCCTCCACCAGTCCCTTCAAATGAAATCAAGCTGCACCAAATTTCACACACTCATAGATATCAGTCCCCTAAATGTTTTTATTCATCAAGATCCATGAATTATTCCCTGGGAAAACAACACCTACACCCATTTTCTTAATAGCTAATCCATTCAGTTGATTGGGTTTAAAGGTTCAGTTTGTAGAATTTAGTGACATCTAGTGGTGAAGTTGCGTGTTGCAGCTGAACACCCCTCACCTCACCCTCCCCTTACAAACAGGAAAGAGAACTCTTGGTAGCCTTCAGTTGTCATAAATACTCAAAAGGTCCAGTTTGAACTACAGTAAAAAACATGGCAGCCTCTGTAGAGAGGACTTGCTAAAGTATTTAAATATAAATCTTCCATTCTAGGGTAAAAACAACTACAATTTGTAAAATTTAGATGATTACACACAAGTGAAAACATCCCTAGGATTAATTATATTAAATTTCTCCCAATAGATCCCTATCACCTACATTGTACACACTGAACCTTTAATCTTGTGTATAGACAAACTTACAAATCAACCAACAAACAATTAAAACCTCCATGGCCGTGGTAATAAGTGCAGTGTCTGAAGCACATGCGACTTGTTTCAACTTAGTAAATAAAGATACAGCCCTTATGTAGTAAACCAGTAGTAGAGTATAATTGACAATTGAATCAGGTGTCCTCTAAAGGTATGCAATGCTACTTTATGTCCAGCTTTAAAAGCAATGTGAGGTGAGTGAAAAGGTGTTGATGAATGTCTTGTAACAGACACGGGTGTGCATGGACATTTGACACCTCAGCGAACAGCCTCGTTGGCTGATCTGGGTTAGATGTGCAGCCACAGCTGTGGACACTTGCCTGTGAGAGGCTCTGACAGCCCTGGAGACTAGCTGACTGGGCCAAAGAGCTCCTTGAGAAAGTGCAGTGACACACACACACACATGCTCACTCCTACACTCCCCAGCACACTGTAGCATGTGGGTTCACACCAGGAAATACCACGGAGGCAAAGCACTTCATAGATCATTTCAATGAACAGTTAAACTATTTACTTATATGCTAATGAAGTGCCTGTGAAATGATGGAGGGGAAGTTAAAGAACTTCACTGGTGGGTAATGACTTCAAGAGCTGGATCTGATAAGCCAAGTGGGTTCATAAAACCCACCTAATAGTAGCATCTCTGTGCTGTATTGTTTTCCATCTCCATTAGATGATGAAGAAGAGGAAGGCAGTTATGATACTGATGAAGGTCAAGACTACAGAGCCCAACCCCACAGGGACGTCACTTCTAGCTCCTCCATGACAGGCCCGAGTCCCTCGTCCGTTGTAAAGCTGGAGGCCAATCAGAAAGCCAGGAACAAAAAACAGAGGCAGGAGCTTTATGGTAAGACCGTCCTTTGAAACTGATTTATGAGTCAACAAAACTGCCCCTCACATTCATGGGGAGCATCTGTTTTGTGTTTCTCCTACTGGCTTGGTCTGAGTCTGTTTCTCTAATTGAACTGCACAGCCTCCCAGTGTCTGTCTGGAGCGGAGGGGGTTGTCAAAGTAAGGGAGAAGCCCCCCTGTAGGATGGGCCTGGCCACTGCAGTCAAAAACCACCGTGAAGATCACAGACTCGAAGGTGTCAGAAGACCGTGTGGATCTCGGTCTAAGGAGCCTCGGTGGGGCGGCCTAGGGACCAGAGGCAAACGCTACAGGAGGAGCATGGGACTGGCCACCTTCCCGACCACCAGTGAGAGGCTAAAGAGGGCGACTCGCAAGAGCACCATGTTAAGAGGGGCCATCAATAAGGTTAGCAAAAACATTTTATAGACATTTAGATATACAGAATAAGAGCAGCTGAATACACTTTTTCTACAATTAGAAAATTCTATAACAAATATCAATAAAAATACCATACATAATAGGCAAATTTAGGCAATAGGCCAGAAAGTATCTTTGAAAATAGTTTAAATAGAGAGAATGTGAGCTGTGGTTGCACGTACTGGAAATATTCTGTTTAGGTGAGCAAGAGAAATGATAGAAACTGCATTAACACGCCCATTACGTGTCTTCTGCTTATCTTAGCCGAGGTGTGAATACAACCATTCATTAGTAAGAATTCACATTACATGGACGTTGCACTCGGGGAGCTGGCAAAGTGAAATCAGTTTGAGGTCTTGTTCAACTTATTCAGTCATTTGCGTTCACACAAACAGTTTTTGTCTCTCACATTGATAAGCCTCTATCTGGTTAAAAAACTGCTTCTCTACTCCTCTGCAACTGAATAGTAGATGGAGAGAGGAGGAGTGAGCTCCTCATTTACGGGGTAATACTGGCGACTGTCTTCTACGGAAAGTAGCTGACGTTCGTCCAGGAAGTCATTAGTTTGTCTCTGGGGTGCTTTTCTGACAAAAAGTTACTAAGGGGGTGTGAAAAGTTGGTAAATTCGCAAATTTGCCAAGTTGGCAAAGTAAATGCCCCTGATAACGTAATAGAAACAGTGTGAACTATTCAGTTTCAACAGCAACAGGCAATGGGGAAACTCCCAACACTTGGCCGCCTGTAACTGACCAATGGTCTAACTCCATCAGAAACTCAACTCTTAGTCAGTCGTGGACATTCAGGGATGTTGGCTGTGTGTGTTTGGGTTCAGCCAAAACCTTCACTTAGGAACCAGGCACGTACAAACTGCCAAAAATGAATCCAAACGTATGAAAATCTGACCCTTCATACATTCCTTGAACAAATCTGGCGCTATCTCTCTGTTCCCGTAGAACTATTAATAGTGATTTGCACATTGCACACAGCCCAACCTATGGGAGGAGAGGCTGGGAGAAAAGCTGTGGGAAAGTTGTGGGAGTGGGGGTCTCACACCTTCTACTGTGACAGAGTGAAAAAACATTTCAGATTAAAATGGCTACAGATAGGACATGATACAGGCACTGCAAAGTCCCCTGTGGATAGCTGCTACTTTGAGTTGCACACTAAACAATTTCTTCTTTCTTTCATCACACTTTCTATCTAAACATTTTTTCTTAACCATCCGCACATCCATCTCTTCTTCTGTCCATTCCGTCTGTTCCATTCTGCAGCCAAAGGGGAGAGCGGTGAGTCGGCTTCTGGAGAGCTTTGCGGCAGACGAGGGCTTTCAGATGGATGGCAGCAGCTTCTCGGAAGAGGAGGAAGACAGCAACTGTTCATTCAACAAAAGCCCCGAATGTAAGACAATACACTGCATTTCTTGCAATAGGGTTCCCAGCAGCAGATAATGTCCGTGATTTTGAAATATTAATTGTTATGTTTGCTTTTCTTCATGCAGTTCCTAACTGTGTCCTGACCAAAGAGCTGTTAACCGATGGACTCAAGGTGCTGATCTCCAAGGAGGATGAGCTTCTCTACGCTGCCAGGATCCACACTCTGGAGCTCCCAGACATGTAAGCACCTGTGCAATGGTTTAAGTGATGGTTTTCACATCCTCGTGTCGACACCACATTTGTCCGAAAAATCAGTGGCTTTCCAAGTTGAGTTCTTTGTTTTGGTACTCACATTCTGCTGCTCCGGATAATTTCAGGAAAATGTCCAGACTTCAGTTCATGTCTGAAAGCAGTTCTAGATTACTTCCCTCAAATTACAGTGAAATGTTTGTACCTTTGTAAGTGTTAATTCTGCTACAATGACATGAACCAACTAATGCAAATACATCCTTCTAGATTTCAACCAATCATAAGAGCTCATGCACTAGAAGTTTTCTCTAGTATCCAAGTTTTTAGCCTCTGTCTTCCTTACATATCAAACCTCACATCGTCCCCTAGTAGCTCTGGTTATCAATACAGCTCCTCTGGCTCAAGCAGCGAAGGGATGCTCTTACAAAAGCAGAGTGGGAGTAACCTATGACATGGGATCAGGCAAATATAAAACAAGCATCTGGAAAAAACCTCATCTTTTATTTTCTTATCTGTGCTTTTTCTTTAGCTTCAGCATTGTTATCGATGGTGAAAGAGGAAACCGCCCAAGAATCTATTCGCTGGAGCAACTGCTAAAGGAAGCTGTGAGTTCAACCCGCTGCACTAAAACACTCTTTGTTCCAGGAAAAGCTAACACTTGTTTGGTCTTCTGGGTCGCTCAACACTTCTATTTCTCTTGAGCATCCTTCTCACCCCTTTTTGCATTCCTCCGTGTCCTTCCTTTGCTTTCTCTCTTTTAACCTCCTTTGAATCTCAGGATAACTGAGGACATCGAAACCTCTTTAAGTTTATGTGTGTAAGTGTCTGTGAATGTCTGTGGGTGGAATAATCCCACGAACACCTGGATTCATTCAGGTTTTGGAGTTTAAACGGGAGATCGTGTGAACTTTACATCCCTACTGGCCAAAGTAACAGAGGCTGAAAGACAAAAAATCATCCGATCACACACACACACACACACACACACACACACACACACACACACACTATGATCTCCTTTTTGTGCACAGTAGCATGTTTTTTTCTTTGGATGAGATCATTTGTATTTGTGATCCCCTTCTAGTTTCTTATTAAGATACAATTACAGTCATCCCTATAATGAGATATAATTATACATCGGAGAAACCACAGCACATTCTTGGGTGGTTTTCATTTACATTGAATTAACCTGCACTTCCTGGTGTGCTTTGCATCCAGAATGGTGAGTTAATGTTCACTGCTGGAGGTGACCTTTTTATTTTTTTTGACTGAGAAGATATAGGTTTCTGTGGAGTACGGTCTCCGAACACAATGTCGTCATTACTCACATCTTGTCTAACTATGGACATGACTTGTGTTTGCACACAATGGAGTGTCCAGACATGAAGACCCTGGAAGAGTAGAGCAGAGTTTAACTCACAAATGAAGGCAAGATAACAGTGCTGGGCCCTTTTCTAACATGGTCTTGTGATCACTTGAATATACATTTCTGCAACTGTAAACATATTTTGGAACCAGCTGAAATGTCTGTTATTATGGTTAAGTGCAGCATGTATTGACCTGAGCCGTTTGATTCTTTGTTGAAGGGTTATAGCTAGCATACATTTTCACTGCAAGTCCTGAGCACTCAATAGCCATACCCATAAAGTTTTCAATTAAAGCAGAATTAAATACTCAGCACATCATGTACACAAATTTAAATGCCAATATTTTTTAGATTAATACTTTGTCCCTGGCGCATTGGATTCAAATACAATTCCTATCACTTTTATTTTGATCTTTCGAACAAAATCATAAAAGAAGTCCAGTATCTTATTATTGTTTTAATCTGTCTATTGGCTAAGACTTATCATAGCATTTAACTGTCCCCAAGATCAATATTCATCAGGTTAGTGTTGTCCTGCAATTAAAGATACTCCCCTTCACAAATTCTATCCTTGCATCCTTGTACTATTTGAAGGCTTATCTACGTCTATTTCCATTGATGTACACTTGCTCATATTATCTCACTTTCTCTGCTGGAAGTTCTACACCATTCAAGCAGTTCTAGTCTTATCTAAACACTCATCTGATAGCAGCTGGCTCTAATTATGCCATACTTCTTGTCTTTAAATTAGCTCAAAAGCCATTTATATGACACCAATACCCCTATTTTCACTGAACTCCTTCTTCCAAGCCCATGTGTCCCTCCCACCCTCTACCGCCACATCCACACCTCATCAGTCAAAGGGTCCCTTGCCATGGCAACAGTAAATGAAAGCAACCTGAAAGAGCCCCCACTGAGTGGCGGATGCTGGGGCTGCCTGCATTGTTGGAGGGAAGATCTGGCAACCTGCAATCACAAGCCCTCTATTCAGGCCCTCTTTAGTATTACTCAGCAAGTCAGGATTTACTGCATCATGGCTTCCGTTCTTTTCAGCCCTGACTGGCACATTGGCATGAGATAAGTGCCGCTTGGAAACGTGGCACAGTGGCTGCCCATGCACAATGCTCCATTGCTCTCACAGTGTATGTGTGTGTGTTTATGTGTATGTGTCTGTCTGTGTGTGCTTGTGTGCAGCATGTAATGAATCTTAATCATGTTTTGGTCTGGCTTTCAGGTCCTGGATATACGTCCAGAGTCAGAGGCTCTGCTCAGCGAGGGAACCAGAGTGTGTGCTTACTGGAGCGAACGCTCTCGCTGCTTATATCCAGGCTATGTCCGCAGAGGTGAGACATCAGATTTTTCCATCTCTGTTTTTCCTCAACTTATTATTTTACTGCATGTACATACAATTGTTTCCTACATATGACAGAGTGCAACTTTGGTCCTTATAGGTGCTTCATCTGATGAGGGGAAACAAGGAGGGGTGATGGTGGAGTTTGATGATGGAGACCGAGGGAAGATTTCTCTCCCAAACATCCGCCTCCTGCCTCCAGGATACCAGATTCACTGTGGGTGTTTCCTCTCTTTGTGTCTAGGAATTTGTCCTTTTATGTTACAATGTATTGTCCACCTGTTACTAAATGCTAATAATATTCTACCCCCTTCTCCTCTAGGTGGGGAGTTATCTCCTGCCCTGCTGGTATCCAGCGGGACAACAACCAAGAGAAGCTCCAGTCTTGAACAGGCCCCCATCAGTGACAGACACTCTGACAGACTCAACACTATGAACTCTCTAACAAGTAGTCAAACGCTAAATGTTCACAAAAGAAGACCGGGTAAGGATGAGCACCAACTATTTTATTATAAACTTCAAAATTTGATTTAGTATTCTTACATTTAGTGAAACATTTTAACAAATTTTTTATAGCTCCACGTAATGTGGAAATATTCCTTCTCTAATATTCTCTCTATTTAATTTGAAAAGCATGATCTTGTAGAAAGATGATTTATTTTTTTAGGTTTTGAATAGTTATGCTTATTCACTCTTAGTCAGAGAGGTGTTATTTCCAAGTAGCTTACTTGTAATTTTTGTGGTTTCTTAGTACATATTCATGATATTAAGAAGGGTTCATAATTTTGTGTCAATTTTGTGTGTTAATCATGCACACAAATTGGGGTGGGATGATAATAGTAAAGTCATTATATCGCTGTCACAGTGTCAACATAAACTCTATAGATCTGTAATAAAGAAGCATTAGCTTTACAACAACAGGACATATTGTGGGGCCGGTGTATCGGACTGTGTGGCTAAAACATATTATATATGTTTTCTTCATTTAAGGGAGACCAAAGGGTTCTGGGAAAAAACAAAAGCAACAGCAGCAACAAGCTGAGAGTGCCAATAAAAATCCTTCACCTTTCCTGGGTTGGCCCTTATTGGCCAACACCAGAAAGAGGACGTCCGACAATCTCTTTCAACTCAATGGGGTACCCAGGAAGGTCTTAAGAGGGAAGGACGATGACCGGTTTCCTTTGCCTCAAACCCAGCCACCGGCTTCCATCCCAGCCAAGGGCCTTTTTAGTAGCAGTTCCTTTGAGGTAGACTCATTTAGCAGTATTGCAAATGGCTACTCCTCCTTTTGTACTCAGTCTACAGGTCCAGATTTATCTCTGGGCCCCAGAAGTGGACTGTATGGCCAGAAGCGCAGACAAGATGAGCCGCCAAGGGGTAGGAAGTCTGGACAAGAGTTCCTTGTCAAGTTAGATCATGAAGGAGTGACCTCCCCCAAGACAAAGAACAGCAAGGCTCTACTGTTAAGAGGTGGATCTTCCAGTGTGAGTAGTATGCCCACGACAGAGGCCTACTCGCACCCAGTCCTTTTGGTTAAAGACAATAAAAAGGGTGGTGCCTCCAGGGTCGAACTTCTACTGAAAGGTACCACACACCAAAGAAAGCCCTCCCCTTCTCTGCGTCTGGGGGAGTATGGCGATTTGGGCTTCAGCTCCCACCGAGACTGTCACAGCTCCTACTCTGATCTGGATGATGATGATGAAGAAGAAGAAGAGGAGGAGAGGAGGAGGGCTGCACTGGCTGCAGCCTCAGGAGGACTAAGGACACCTGGCAGTTTCCTCTCTCGTCTCTCTGTCTCCTCCTCCTCTTCTGGTTCTTCTAGCTCCTCCTCTTCAGGCTCTCTCTCCAGTTCCAGCCTCTGTTCCTCAGACAATGATTCATCCTACAGCTCAGAGGATGAGGACAGTTCTACTCTAATGCTGCAGAGTTGTCTGTCTTCCCACCGGCGGCTCCTCCAACCGTCTGAACCCACTACGTCTTCAAGGTCACATCAGCAATCCTTTGTGGCCAAAGCTGTTGCTGTTTCCAATACTAAAGGTGGCACGACAGATCAGATGTCCAACAGCAAGTCTTTGAAGAGGAAAGATTGCAACAGCTCCACCCCTAAACCTAAGGAATTCATGAAGAAACCAAGGATGCTTACTGATGATAACTCATTTATTCCGAGGCCCAAGATGTCTGTATTCCTAGCAGGCCGACAAATGTGGAGATGGTCAGGAAACCCTACACAGGTGAGAATAGCATATCCTTGTTTCTACTGCATACAAGTGTAGCAAGGATTTGTGATTTTTTGCTTTGAAAATAACATTTCAGTGAATGTCATATACTAAGTCAATAGAAGTCAAGAAATATCAATAATAATCATAAATTGTCACTTTAAAATATTGGCTAAAGTGTCTTGTTTTCCACAGAGGCGAGGTCTTAAGGGCAAGGCCAGGAAACTTTTCTATAAGGCCATTGTACGAGGCAGGGACACAGTGAGAGTGGGAGACTGTGCCGTGTTCCTCTCAGCTGGACGCCCGAATCTTCCATACATTGGTCGAATTGAGAACTTCTGGGAATCCTGGACCTCTAGTATGGTGGTTAAAGTGAAATGGTTCTACCACCCTGAAGAGACAAAGCTAGGCAAAAGGCATCGAGATGGAAAAGTAAGTCATGATGGAGGTTAACACTTTAATAGATGATATTACCGTGCTATTTGTTGCATATTGGACTTTTCAAATTACTTTCTTTATTTGTTGGTTATAATGATGAAACTAAACTTGTCTTTTCATAATCCAGCACGCCCTATACCAGTCATGTCATGAGGATGAGAACGACGTCCAGACAATCTCTCATAAGTGCCAGGTGGTGAGCAGGGAGGAGTATGAATGTCTGACTCGCATTCAGAAGCCGAACAGTACCTCCCCAGACCTCTACTACCTGGCTGGGACGTATGACCCCATGGCTGGTCAGTTGGTCACTGCTGAAGGGGTTTCCATCCTGTGTTGAGCCTCCATGAGGACACTACTGAATGACTCCTCTGACTTTACCGATATGACAGTTCAGCACTGGAAGACGCAAATTGTTCCTTGGGTATGCCTCAAGGACCCATGGACTAAATGTCAACACCAATGCAGGGCTGTCTGAGGTTACACACTGGAGTCTATTGGCATCTAACTTTGTTAGAAGTGAAGGGGATGTCCATAACTGGTTGATCCTTTCAAGAGGAATAGTAGAAAGTCTGGGTCTTCCTGGGTATCGCAAAATTCACTAAGTGGCGTTTCAATCGTCAAACTAATCTCTTTTTAATAGATCCCATGTGATTGACAGCTTCATAACTGGTTTTAGGATTTATGCTTCCAGCTCCTATCATATGTCACAAAAGGAGAGCTGAGATTGCATTGGACTGTGCGAAATACCATGAGGCTGAAGAGTCTCAGCGGACCAATTCTTTAAAGGTAGCCTTACCGGGGGGGAATGGAAACGAAAGTGAGGCACGGGGCTCTCCCCAAACCTCTTCATTCCAGGGAAGTCTAAAACATGTAAAGGATGTAAAGTTGATGTCTGTAAATATTTTGAAAATTTCCCAATCAAGCCATACACTTCAGTACCTCTCGCCTGTCTTAACTGTTCAGGTGTACATTGTACAGTTCAGTTATTGTATTGTTGTCTGTTGTCTATATGTACATAAAAGCTATTTTATATAGGAGTTTATTGTATATATATGAGATGTATCTTTCCATGTTTGCGATTGATTTATTTTTATATGGGTGTGAAATACATTACCTTGTTTTTCCTTTGCTTTGGGAAGTCAAGATTGGAGATGTTAGTGTTGCACTGCATATGCCCTGCTGAGACAGAGACAGACAGAGCACAGACAAAGACAGAAGGAGTTAGTCTACAACAGGACGAGACACACTTTCTGAGAGAGAGGGGTCATCCTGTTTAAAAATAGGTCAAGTGGCTTTTTGGTATACGTGTTCTGTAACTTTGCATTTTTGTTATCCTATTAAAAAAACAAATGAGAGAAAAAAAACAAGAGAAAAAATTATTTATGTACCTCTCAGTTGGTCATCATCACAAGGCAGATCCCAATGGACTGCAATCACGGGTCAAAAATGGTTTAAGAGTAATGATATGAGTGAACCGTTATGACACAATATCTGTGTGTGATGAGTGTCCTGGCATCACTATAATAATGTCCACTCAAATAAATTCTGAACAAGACTGGGTCTTTTAATGAAAATGTGTTAAATCATGTGCGTTGCTCTCACGGATGCATTGGTTCAGCACATTATAACTTACAAAATACCAAAGTGTCTTTAATATCTTTATTTTCTTTATTTAAATTTAACATATGTCAAGCACCTGTACTGAACTCAAATCAGAAATCACTGGTAACTTAGAATACTTGTCCTTGCATATACTTGCATATATATTGGCTTTGCATTGTGACAATGGTTTCTTGCACATGTACCTGCAGTTTTGTTTAGTACAAAAATGTGCAGCTAAAGGCCGCCTGGGAGTGTGACTATGAAGGTCAAGGTACTGACAAAGTAAGATGTTGAGTGCTGACAACTATGTTGGAATTAGTATATTTTAGTTTCATCAGCCATCTTTGTCTATTTTGTACAGTACACGCACATACTCAAATGCTAACTGTGAAGGACAATCAGATTCACAAAGCAATGGACATAGAGTAGGTTCACTCAATCTGAAAATTACTTAAGTTTATTTAATTTGTGCCAAGTACATTTTGTCTGGTTTTTGTTTTGTTTATGCAATCTTAAGTATTCTTTGTTCACAAAGTTATTTTTTTTGTTGGCCAACGTTTTATTTATTGTCATTGTTGCTGTTTGTTCATGCCAAGAGCGCTTTATGAGAATGTGACATTGTTTTTATTGGTGTGATGTCGCATTTGCATTTCTTAAATAAAACTGGTCTTGTAGAGGCCATGTAGTGAAAAGAAATAAAGCAACACTGGATTCTTCTCATCCACAATCCTCTGTGAATTAATTATATTATTTTTGGCTCTGTCCCCTTCATCTGACTCCATCTGCCATTTCCCACCAACACATGTATGTTTCACTCAGCATTTTTCACCTATTTTAAAAACTTGATTTTAGAAGATTAAACAATTTTGCTCTGCATAAAAACACAAATAACAAAATCTTCAAAGCACAAAATATGTTCCTACCTTCACCAATGTGGGTGTGTGTGTGTGTGATATGAATGTGGTTGTGTTAATATTAGAAAGCCACTCCTCACTGTAAGTGGCAGAAACAAACAGGGGGATATATTACAGAGAGACCCCTCAGAGTTCTCAATTCAGCTGAATATAAATAAACATGATACAGTTAATTTTGTACTCCAAATAGGACAAATGGACACAAAAGAGACAAATGTCTTCAGTCTGTGACGAGCATTAGCACTTTATTCCTGAAAACGAATAAGGTGGGTTCAGTGCATTTTAAAAGGAAGTAAAAAAACAGGAATTGTGAAAGTTTATCCATGAACACATACAGCAACAAGCTCAAACCAAGTTGTAAACGTCGTCATTTGATGATTTGACAAAAACAATCATCAGCAGTCGAGTCAACAAGTCAAAAAGGTGTCTACATATCAAGCTCACACCTTTCCCCAGTAACCATCCCCCAGACTGCACCTGTTCTCGTTTCTAATTACTCGGAGTGACGATAGCAGCACTTGCCTCGCTGTGTGCATTATGTATATCACATATCTCATTTATATGTGTGTGTGTGTGTGTGTGTGTGTGGGGGGGGGGCTCTGTTATTTATACCCCTTTGGGAGCTTTAACATGCTCCCCTCTGAATTTTTGAGGCTGCTTGGATTTATTTAAGCAAAATTCAATAAGCATGAGTCCTTTTTCTGCCAAATTCTTTTATTTGTTGCGATAAATCTTTTGATGTGAGTGTCTCTGGCTGAACTAAGTTTATGTGAGCTTTGAGTTCTTTAGCAAATAGAGCCGGATCTGTCACAGCATCAAATAAAGACTGCCGGGTTTAACTGCCAAGCTCTGTAAATATGATGTTGACTGATTCAGAGGGAAATGTAAATTTTCATGATTCATGATACATTTGCCCATTTTTCTTTTAAAATGAATTGGTTCTTTTTCTTTTCTCCCAAGGCCCTGGAACGACTGTGTCAGCGTTCAGTGTGGTGATTTGTCCGTGATTTAGAAAAGAGCAATTTCTGTATTTGTGGTGTAATTCTTACTTATGAATCTGTCATTTTAGGATCAAGATAGAAGATACAATGATCAAATATCACAACAAAAGATTTGATTAAAATTGAATGCTTGTTTCTCAACAAAATAAAGGGATTCTTATACATTTATATCTCTTGAATGAAGAGTAAATGTAAAGTAGGGCGCTCTCTAGTGGAACACAAAGCATCCTACATTACAGTAAATAAACTTATGGTCTAATTTTGACTCGAATATAGAGCAGAATGAAGCATTTTTAGTAGTTAAAATTGGTGGCAGAAATGTGTACCCCTCTTCATTCACTATCTTGAGCAGCCGGTATGTTCATCTATCCTACTACATTATCCATAAGCTTCTTCAGCATCTGTCCATTTGCAAACATGCTCATCTGCCTGGACAAAGCCAATCTCTGCAACCTGAATAAGGGAAATAACCACTGGCTTAGCCCGAAGGAGACACAATATAGGTCACTGACCTTTCTCTGCAGGCCCAGGGGTCTTTTTGTCCTGCATGGAGCCAGAGCGCTGCTACCCCTCCCCCTAATGCCAAGACAGGGGCTAATGGGCACATCAGTCATCTCTAACAGCAGCCCAGCGAACACAAACAGAGCTGTTTACCACCACAACCTTTTGTGTTGACTGTGGCCACTGCCCCGTGTCTGAGCAGGGGCCCTTCCTGTATCAGCGACACAAGGGTAGGACAGACTCTCCTCACCGCTGGAGCTGAGAACAGAGTTAATGAGTGTGGGGGTGGGGGTGGGGGGTTTAGGTTACTGTGTTTCGAGAGAGTTTGCTTCATTACTTCTGTTTGTTAAAGATATCAACTTAAGACAAGAATGGTACCAACAGCCCCCTTATTAAACCACATTTAAATTCACTAGATCGTGTTATTTGAGTGTGTCCCCTAAACATGCCTGATGTTTTTCACCAAGTTCCATAAATGATTCTCTGAGATATGAACAGAAATGTCAAAATATTTACCAAACCCCACCCCTCCACAAGATTTAATTGAAGTAGTTTTTACATTAACACATTTTTCAACACACTTGTAGTGATATCAGTTCCCTAAATGTGCCTTTTATTCATCAACATCCCTGTTAGTCCTTGCAAAAATTCCTGGATCAGCACTAAGGTTTAAGTAGGTGCTTCCCTGCCCCATGTGACATTCTTCCTCCAAGTTTCATGGAAATATGTTTTGTTTTTTTGTGCAGTCAAACAAAGAAACACACAAACCAGCCAACAAACAGCGATTAAAAAAAATTTAAAAAACTCCTTGGCAGAGGCGATAAGCTTCATTAGGGTTCTGATAAAAACAATCAAAGTATTTATTTTTGATAAATTATACACAGTCAACTGAACACCCTGCATCTGTATCACTTAAACAAGTCAATGCATCAGACTCATCTATTTCTTTCCTCACTTGGTGCATTTTTTCAAGTCTCCAACCTGGATTGTGTTACCTCTCACTTGACGGACCGGTCTGTCTGCCTCACTTTTCAATGCCTTTCTGGTTCAGCTCGCTCAGCATCCAGGCTGTGTTGCTCAGTGTCAACAGGAGGAATGCTTTGCTGCACAAATATCTACACCTCATAAATTTCTCGCCCCCCGGTTGACCCTGCCTGGCCTCTGACTCTGAGGGGGTTGAACAGGGGACAGACAGCCTTGTGTGTGTGTGTGTGTGTGTGTGTGTGTGTGTGTGTGTGTGTGTGTGTGTGTGTGTGTGTGTGTGTGTGTGTGTGTGTGTGTGTGTGTNTGTGTGTGTGTGTGTGTGTGTTAAGCTTAGGTCTTGGGTCTCAACAAGGTGCTGGGAGAAGAGAGCAGGACAAACACATCAGTCAGATGTTGACTGCTTCTTCTTCAAGAACGCTAATGCCTTGATTATTCCTTTTTGAACTTATCAATAATACAGCAGTTACAGCCACTGTAAAATAACCTCAACCATCCTGAATGTGGTGAACACAGAGGCTTTCAAGCTGCTCCATCATGGAGTGAAGCAAAACATAGAATGTCTTTAACGTCTACATGCATTTTTTAAAGATTGAAATGTACAGACACAGAACTATGGTAGTATTGTGTGCATAAATGACAAAGCAAAAGTTCCAGGACAGTTTGAAACATTTGCAGCAGTAAACAATATCCCATCATTTTGCTTGACGTGATTGAAACCTTGAAAAGCTGAAAGCGTGTGCATGTTTACAACATGTGTAATGGAAGGCTTTCAGAGGTGCGCTGAATGCCGAACCACCTGCTGTTTTCAAATACCTACACTTCCTCGTGAGGATATCCTGGACTAATGCGTTCTCCTGACACACACAGACACACGCCTGCACACAGTCCACTCAACTGCTCTGTGTGCTGCGTGCTGTGGCCCACAGCCAGCCGTGCCACCTCTAATCTATTTCTCTGTTGCTCATTATTAGTGGCTTATAAAGATTCTGTATCAACTATGCTAAAAGAGCTTTTCACAGTATTACATGGGATTACCGTTGCTCCTCGCTACATATGTTGCTCAGAAACTCTGATGTAATGTCGCCACCCTATTTACTGACAAAATAACAAATGCACGACTCATTATCAGGATCTTCATGCTGTTTTAGCTCTGTATCCAAAAATCATCCCTCAGATGCTTTTCCATGTCTTGTTGTGCAGTGTAGGTGTAGTTCTGAATGAATGACTGTGGAAAATGTCCAGAAAAGAGAAATCCACAATGAATATAAAAATGGACGACACATCTCCACGTCCTCCCACTATTCTGAAATGAAGCCAAAACAAGGAACACCGCCATCATGCACATTTGAATATATTTGATGGATGCAGTTTTTAATCGGGTCTCTGAATCCAAAAGATCAATTATTTCTCTTTATTTCTCTAAATTCAGTGGATGTGAAAAAACAAAAACCAGGGGTAGTTCAGCTGGTTGTCACTTGTTGCTTCTAACCTGAACTTGAGTTTGATCTATTGAGTGGCGTGTGTGTATGTGTGTGTGTATATGTGTGTGTGTGTGTGTTGCTTTTGTCGTGTTGCAAAGACGTTACTGTGCCAACAGCCACAGTTGTGCTCTCACTGTCCACAGCACTATACTGACCCAACAACAGCAGGAAAAGTTACAGCCTGTAATAAAAAGGGTCAGGCGCCTTCTCATACTATCCAATTTGTAAGTGCTGAACAGCTGGTTACACTCTATATCTCATAAATAATAAAGAAAGCCCTTTGGCCTTCCTGGAACCGAGATCAGCTATGAACTCAATTAATTAGTTGCGCCCAAAATCAAATGGAATTAAGCTGTGTGGTTGATAAAGTAGCCATAGACTCAAGTGTTACCTTTTCACGAGTGAATTACTGGAACTGGTCTCTGAGGCAGCAGGTATGACTCGTCTCAATTCTTGTAATTATCTGTCGCATCAAAATACAAAACATTCAAGTCAGCAATTATA